ATGTTACCTGGGATGGAGCATTTGAGCTACAAAGAGAGGCCGAATCAGCTCGGATTGTTTTCTTTGGAGCAAAGAAGTTTGAGGGGTCCTGATAGAGGTATATAAATTATAAGGGGCACAGACAGGGTGGATAGAAAGCCATTTCTTCCTTTAGTTGAAGGGTCAAGAGCAAGGGGGCACATTTTTAAAGTGAAAGGCAGGGTTTACAGGTGATTTGTGAAAAATGTATTTCACCCAGAATGTGGTGGGGACCTGGAATGCACTGCCTGGGAGGGTAGTTTGGTGGTAACCTCTCAACCTTTAAAAAGGACTTGGATGAGCTCTTGAAGTGTCATAACATTTAAGCCTAGGCTTCTAATGCAGGAAAGTGTAGATAGTAATGTGATTTTGGTGTAACAAACTCAAGGGACCAAAAAGCCTATTCTGTACTGTATGATTCTATGACTGTGTACCTGGAGTTGAAACTCTCTGGGTGTAGACAGACTTATGAAGCATTGTGCTGCAAGTTACTTATACATTCAGCTGCAGCCTAGAATGCATACAAGTTTAAGACCCAGAATCGCCTTGACAGCTATTGACAATGTGATCCTTGCACTACTTTAATGTTGCAGTTGTGCCTGTAGCAGTGGCAGATTTTAGCCACAACCTCTGTCATGAAGCCTATGTATCTCAATCATTGGTCCCTATCAAAATGGGGCCAAGGGAGATGCTCCCTAAGAGATCCTGGAGTTATGGCTTCCTGCTCTAAAAAGCCTCCTCCAAACCTACAGTCTTCCCTCTTTAAGAAGCTAGCATGGCCTCATTCTTCTAGCCAGTCTCAACTCAGGGGAATGCCCAGTAAGCACTGTCTGTACGGCAGCAACTTACTTCAACAAAATGCTTTGAGGGTCAATTTTTAAGTACTTCAGCAGCAAACAGATCATTCACCACTGTCCAATTAAACATGAGGCAAGTACCATCAGGAGAAATAATCCAGTAACAACTGCAAGCAGTTTATGATCCCTGAAAATAGATTCAGTACAATTTACAGTCATATTTAGCTGAACAAAGCCTTTGCTGGCATGTGGCATTTGAAAATATACTGTACTGACAGATTTTCACCCTGGTTGATGCCATAATCCACTTGCCCTGTATTCTGTCCATAAGCATTTGATGGGCACGTGCCAACTTCCTTACCAAGATGGCATTCAGATAGATACAAGAACACCCAAATCCCTCTGAACATCAATATTTACTATGTGTATGTCTTTTAAAATATATTCTGCCTTGTATTCTTATGAACGAATGGAATGAGCTCACTTTCTCCATTGCGTTATTGTTGGGGGAACCTAAAGGAACTGATTTTGCAGGGGTGGGGCTGATGGAGGTTGCACATGATCTCTTTCAAAGGACATACCATTACAGGATAGAAAGAAATTCACTGTTCAATCCTGAAAAGCAAATTGCCTTCATCATTGGGAATCCAGTGTGATGAACAAATTGACTAATGGCATTAAATAAAATCTGCAAGAATGAAAATAATTAACTTCATTGCATCATCTTATAAATAGAAAGATTTAAGGGCACCTCAAAGTGACTGACGTTTAGCAGAGGTGGTCAAATAGATTGTTGAAGGGATATGTTTTGAGAATGGTTTAAACTGAGATGAAAGGTATTGGGTCTTGACCATCAACCATAAAAATGTTATACGAGTTAAAAAAAAACTCTTGTCTACTTCATCCTCAGTTATAAATATTGTCACAAATCCCCTAATCCCAAGTAATTCAACATGTCCCTCGAATTTCATATTAAAGGTTGAAAATGTATTTTTTGTTTGGATGGATGCGTGCAGTTTGTCCAAACTGCCAGAATATTTTTGAATCAAAACGGATGCCACTGAATGATGTGAGGCACAAAGTGAAAAGAGGAAGTGAAAGTTTGATCTGCAAGTTTATAATCACCCAACTGCTATGAATCAGTAGATTAATATTGAATAAAAAGCCCTGGGGAAATTCAACATTTTCCAGCCTCTCGTGAACACAATTGTTTTCAGATCCATTTACTCAAGTCACTGTAATTTCTCAGAAAAGCTCCCTATGGCTAAGGCATGAATTCCACAGACATTTACCTCAAAACATACTGTTGTTTTTCCCCTCACTAACAAATGAAGGTTTCACAAAACAAGCCCTGTACTCAAGGGTGTTAGACCTTGAACCCACTTTGCTATTGAGTGGCATGATCCAACTCATGCCTTTGGTTGCCCTTGTGATAAGTTCCTCATTTCTCCATTGCTGCTACACAGGCTTGTACTCCCTCAAGAATAAAAAAAAAGTGAGTTAGGATGTTGAAGGTGACTAAAGAATCTGACAGGGTAGAGACAAGCATCTGTTCTCTCTGGCATCTGAATCCTGAAGGGATCCAAACCTGAAAGTTAGAGTCGGGTTAGAGGTGACAAAAGGAACATTTCTTCACAAAAAGGCTAGTGGGAAATCTCAAATTCTCTCCCCACCACCACCACGCTCCCCCCCACCAACCCCACCCACTATTAAAAAAGGTTGAGAATTTGAAAACTGAAGTTACTCCCATTTTTATTGAATGAAGACAGAGTGTTCACAGTCCAAGTGTAGTCTAAGTAATGTACTGTACAAGTTTAAAATAATTTCTGATGTTTATGACTATCCCTTTGTAAATGCAACCCAGTTACTTATTTATGACCTTATTAATTTGTGTCTCTAATTAGAGACTTATCCATCTGTACCATAAGAATTTCTTTCACTTTTCTATCCCATTTATATGCTTATGTTAAGTATTTAACCTTTTGAATATAAACAGCTCTGCTCAGATCACACCTGAGAGTGCTGTATTATCCCATTCCAATCACCTTATTTAAGGAAGGATATAAATGCATCTGATGTACTTTAGAGAAGTTTTACCAGACTAACACCTGGTTGTCTTATCAGGCCTGGCTTGTGTCTGCTGAGTTTAGAAGTATATGAGGCAACTTGATTGAAACAAAGATCTAAGGGGTCTTGACAGTGCAGATATGGAAAGAATGTTCCCTCTTTTAGGAGAATCTAGAACTAGGGATCATTGATTAATGATGGGTGATCACCCTTTCTAAAGCAAAGAGCGGGAGCGGGAGCTGGAGCAAGCGATCCAAAGCAGCCAGCGGTGAAAGCTGGAGCAGGCTGCCTGGGAGATGTGCAGCGAGAGTGGGAGCAGGCAGCCTGAGACAGTCGGCGGTGACAGTGGGAACAGGCAGCATCGGAGACGTGTGGTGAGAGTGGGAGCAGGCAGCCCCAATGCGGTGAGAGTGGGAGCAGACAGTCCGAGGTGGTGATGAGAGTGAAGTCAAGCCTTGTGAGAAATGTGAGCCCAGGACTGTGATGCTGAATTATTAACTGTGTTTCTTTGGTAGGACTGTAATGTTTAACTTCTTGGCTGGCTTTCTTTGTATTAAGACTCTGTGCCTAGGTACATTTGTACCTAAGATGGCACCGTAAGTGGCAGCTTGTAAACTTTTCACTGTACTGATGCTGGTGAGTATATGTGGCCATTAAAGCTAATTCTAATTAGAGTTTTAAAACAGGCAACTTTTATTTTACAGGGAGCAGTTAGCCTTTAGAAATCGCTCCCTGAGAAGACTACGGAAGCAAAGTCCTGAATATTTTTAAGGCAGAGGTAGATACATCCTTGTTAAGCAAGGGGTTTAAAAAGCAGCAGGCAGAAATGCAGATTTGAGGATCCAATTAAGGTCAGCCCTAATTGTATTGAAATAACAGCAGTTTTGAAGGGCCGAATGAACTCCTCCTACATCTTATTCAGATGTTTCATTCTCCTGTCGAAACACAATACCACACAGTTGGCTGTGACGAATTGAAATTAATTTGCCAATTGCATAAATGCCCATCTTGCAAGTGCAGATGATTTCCTAATCAACCTGTTTAGAGATATTATTACACACCTCTAAAGCAGTTGGGGCTTGATCCCAGGCCTCCTCATCCAGTGTTAGGGACCCTACAAACGTGCTTTGTGCAAGTGTTTTCATCTGGTACAGTCATTAGAAAGTGGTGGGTTCATTCTGGAACAAACTATCAATTATTCACCAACACTGTAAAAGTGAAGGACATGGTGAAGGTCGAAGTTGCTGGAACTATTTCCAGTAAAAGCCTGAGTGGGACTGAAGGTGTAATCTATGGGAGTAGACAGAAGAGAAAGCATGGGAAAGTGTTTACTGGAATGTTATGACCAGTGATAGAGGCAAGTCTTAAAAATGTAATCACTGACCACTGAAATAAATAATAGATTTTCTGTCTCAATTGACCTACATATTCGGGGCAGCATCTCAGCATGGAAAGAAAAAGTTGCAGTGATTAAATCCAGCTCCAGTTTAACTCTGATACAGGAAGAAGGAGCGTGTCGCATTTTATCACAGATATCTCAATCAATTTCTCTGCACGGAAACACGCTAAAGTCGGATCAGTGCAACTACTGTTTTAAGGGAAGCCCATCTTCTGTCACGGGCTGTAACGCGCAAGAGTCAGGGAGTTACCCCCCCTCCCCAAAAAATGTGAAAAGGAGAGAAAGGCCAACGGGAGCCCCCCCCGCCAAGGCACAAGTCAACAGGTTGCGAACTGCAGCAATGCATTTAACCATTTCCTTGCCGTTTGCAGTTTGAAGCTGCAGACAGGTCCGAGGGAAGCGGTCAGATGAATCACTTGCAGGACCGAGCCTGAAGTCTGGGCTGAGAATGAGCACTCGAATACTAGGTGATAGTTAAAGGTAGGGATAAGTCATCACGAAACCCAGCGGACAGGCAATAACACCGCATTGACAAGACTGAGCTCGGTGTACTGTACATGTACAGTAACGCCTTCACGTAGGAAGCAAACAGGTGAATAGAGCAGCCCATCCTTTATAAAGATATTGGTCCTGTGTGGCAGCCAGGCTGGGAGAATGTCCCCTTGCTTCTAGCCAGGCTATAACCTTCAGTGAAAGCCACCCCGCCCCTCCTGACTTACAGCAAGCACAAGGCTAACGCTCCTTCGCAGGACTCGCTGTGCCGGACCAGGAAGCTGCCGTCCTGAACCGCCTTAGCGAGTAGGCTCTCGGCCATGGGCCGGGAGATGTCCTCATGGTACCAGCGATCGTTCATCTTTCCTGCCGACTCCTTATTCCATCCAAACCTCGGCTGCCGCTTCAAACAGACGAACCCAGCGTCAGCTCGCCCACAGCCAGCCTTTCCTGGCCGTGACGAAGCCAGACTCAACTTCACTTCCTCAAAGCGCGATCTGACATAAAGAAAACCACACGTGTTTCAGTTTATTACCAGTGCATTAGTACCTCCCATTCACTCCTCCCCTATTAACACCCTCAAACCATTCACTCACTCCTCCCTCAGTAACACCACACCCCCACAGCCCATTCACTCCTCCCTTTTTAACACCCTCCAAACCATTCATTCACTCCTCCATCAGTAACTCCCC